TTTAAATGTAGATATTTATAAAGAGTTTGTGTACTATATAGGTTTGCCTGGTTTGTGTATATTTGCCCATCTTATTTATATACGTCACTAGGAAAAGGCATGATGCTCTTTCAGATTGCAAAGATCAGAGACATGCTTAGGTTAAGTTTTTAATAAAAATAATTATAATGCCTACAATTTATCAAGCACTTACTATGCGTCAGGCGATGTATTAAGCTCTTTACATGCATTGTTGTATCTAATCGTCATGGTAACCAGTGAGGCAGCTACTTCTACTTATTTACATTTTGTGGATGCAGAAAGTGGGCTCAGGGAGATTAACTGCCTCACTTAGAGTCACATCAGTGATGGCAGAGCTGGGATATGAACCCAGTTTATCAGATGCCTACCCCTGTGACCTGCTATTATGCATTCTTCCTCAATAAGTGAGAGGAAAACAGATTGGTGGCTACCAGAGGGGAAGGAGGTGGGAGGAGGGCAAAAGGAGTATAGGGACACATATACGTGGCGACAGATGGAAACTAGACTTTTGGTGGTGAACACAATGCAGTCTATACAGAAGACAGAATATAATGATGTACACCTGAAATCTACACAGTGTTATAAACCAATGTGACCTCGATAAAATAACTTTAAATAAATAAATAAAATATAACAAATATTTAAAAAGAAGGATTTTCTGTAAGGACACACTGGGAAGCGAGTAACAGTCTCAGCCGGCAAAGAGCCCCACCTCGTGCTGTAGAGGAAGATCGACGTTCAGGATTGAACAGCATTATTTGTAGTTCTCCAGCAGCTCTGTGACCTAACATAATTCCCTTGCGACACCGTGCAAATCACAGCACCCATGTCTGCCTCCCAGCCTCCTCTTTCTTTTCTCTCTTCACTTTCTGTCCCCCTCATGGTTTCAGCTGCCTCATGACCCCTTTTTATGGCTTTTTCTCTTTCTGTATTTGTACTTTTCCGCTTCTCCATCACTCTGGTCTCTGGATTCTCTGTGAATCTCTCTCAGTTACACTGCCACAGATAGAGTAGATAATTGAGTTGGTCTGTCTATTGGAGAGAGCTTCCGCCTGGGCATCTGGCCTCCAATGCACGTGGCTAGCCCTCAGTTGTCTACTTTTGGGTCAGGCACCAGGCTATGGATCAGTCACCTGGGGTTAGGGACCCAAATCACACTGTACCAACTGTGAAAATTTGTGTAAGACCCCAGAGTGGGGGGCCTGTAAGTGGTCCTTGAACTTGTAGACATTTTTAAGGGGCCAGTGAAAGCCCAAGTCTTCCTAAGACCAGTCTGGCAAAAATGGTGAGATTTTCAAAAAGTCTTTTAATGTGTCTATTATGAATAACTTAAGATCATACGATTAAAACATCATCAGATAAAAATATTTGCTAAGGGTAGTTCTAGCAACAAAAATGTAAGTTATGAAATCTACACCTTCCTGGGGAAATTCAAGCATATCTTTCTGTATTCATGGCTTGCCATGCCCTTGATTAGGTCAGGACATGAAATTGAAAATAGGTACAATTGTAGAGTTGTACGCAAAATTTAATTAGTTTTCTTATTATTCTCTTGTATTTATAAACATTTATGAATATGTAAGAAGGGAGAATGTTAAGCTTCCATACACTGTCTATTAGATTACAAGCATGATGGAGTCCTGTACACTTCTCTTCTAGTCCTTTAGCATCTTGTCATTCATAGTGTAGCAGACACTCAGTAAATGACATTGCCTAATTATTCAGCCCTGATGCCAATTGAGAAGAAGGTGCTAATCAAAGAATCTTTGATAAGCATAGAGTCAAGGAGAAGTAATGCCATTTGTGGATATTTTATGCCTTAATTCCACCTTCTCTGGGTCAAAATAATGGATTGCTATGATGAATTTTTGTGTCATTCTTCCTTGTTTGTTTCCATTCACGTCATGTGTTAGCTGTACCTTTCACCAATGCAAATATAAATATTCAGGAAAAAATAAATCTTTGGTTTGCTTTCAGTTTATCTTTTTTCATGAGGGTTTCAGTACTGCGTTTGAAGTCCTGATCAACATCTAATTTAGGCCTATTTTAATCTTTTTACTTGCGATGTCAGGCTGTAGAACCCTAATTAAATTGATGAAAGACTACAAAACAAAACTAAGGAGCCTGTAAAGAGGGGGGATTTATCCTACCTATGGACTTCTTTCTTAGTAGTTGAATTTCAGAAATGACCTTGTCCTGTCAGCTCACAAGTCTGGAGAGATTAAATGCCTTCATCCCCATGGTCCCTCAGCTGGCTAGTGGCTTACCACTGTAAAGTTAGACTCTGGTAGCATTTTGATGTTTTCAGATATTTGTATAATCATAAATCTGAGCTACAAAGTTGGTTTTATTTTTGAGTTGTGGATTCAATCTCACTGTTATTCTACATACGCATACACACATGCACACACACACACATACACATGATGTCTTGTGTTTGGGTTTAACATGGTAAATCATTTCCAGAGGTGACCAACTGCTGGAATTAGTTAACAATATGGCTGTTCCTCTTCATTTCACAGATTCCTAGAGCAGCCACTCTTGATGCTCCATTCAGGCCATTTTGACCACATTGTTTTCTTTTTCTGTTCTAACTTTAACTCATAGAAACCCCATGGGATGAGGAACCCATTTCGAGAAATGTGTCACAGCAACTTTTGAAATATAGGAAGCTAAACAATTAATGTCAGATTTTCCCTTGTGGAAAAAAGATAAGAAAAGTTAATATATACTAACGAGGTAACTTAAGGAGGTGCTGTACTAGTGGTACATTGTATAAATTATAATTTTTGACAAAGCAAAAGTCTCCTATGGGAGAGCTTTATGCTATCTTTGTGTCATTAATAGTCTATGGCACTGGTTTCCATTCAGACTTGGAGCTGAAACACACCATCCTAACATTTTTTTCTGTTCTTGTGTCAGGTGTATTACAAAAGCTTTTGAATTTATAAAGTATCTTTGGAAATTTATAGAAATGAAGAGTTTACCAAATGTAGCACATTTAAATGGAAAATCCAAATTATACTCAAATGTAATCTCAAGGTATTTTTGTGGATTTCATATACCTAGTCTTTTCAGAGTCTCATTGGTTTCTGTTTCTGTGATGTGAATTTAATTGGTTTCAATACAGGTTTAAAATTCAATAAAAATGTGGTTACCTACCATGTGCCACATAGGGCCCTCAGTGTAATCACACGGGCCATGCTCGTGTAGTCCTTACATACATCCTGTGAGGAATGATGATCTCAATTTTTCAGATAAAGAAAGAGAATCTCACAAAAACTGAGACTCGTCCATGATTATGTGACTAATTGGTGGTATTATAGGGATTATAAATCAGGATATTTTACTCTCAAGTCTATTACACATTCCTATAAAATTAATTTATAAGGAGAAAATCTTGAAAACGCTACTTCATATGCATTCTATTGATTGTCAGAAGATCAACAATCTGATTCATCAAAGGAAGATTCTGTTGCTGACTCATTAAAGGAAGGTGATACAGTGTTGGTTAATGCCATGGGTTTTGACGTCAGGCCAGCAGGGAGATAAACCTTGGCTTCTTAGCTATAGAGAAATGTCAAGACTTTGAGTAAACTTGTTTGCGTTTTAACTTCCAAGTCTCAATTTCTTCATCTACCAAACAATGGTAATACAACATGTTTCATAGGGTTCTAATGAGAAATGAGTACCATATGAGTGCAGAGCATTTAGCAGGGTGCCCAGCAGATAGTACAGATTCTTGGTAGCCCTATCTTAGTAGCAATAGTGGTGAGATAGGAAGATAATGTACAAATTGGTTAAAGACATGTTCATTATTGTGTTCAGGGACATCTGAAGGCTTTCTTGTTAATAAAATTGTATTGATCTCACCGAAGATTTTTAGTGATAAACAGCCCTTATATAGTATTTATAACTTTATGTGGTGCTTTTTAAGATTTTTCAAAATATGGAGCCAGATTAGAAGATTTTCACTTATGTTCCTATTTTAATTACTGTTGCTAATGTGTTGGAAACTGTTGCATGAATAAATTCTAGATGAATGATGGGTCCTCAACACTTTTTTAAAAATGTATATAAAAATAATTATATATATTAAGTCATTGAAAAAAGTATACAATTATTATACAATAGTTATACAACTATTCTGACAGGTTCTTAGAACAATTTCTCCCCTTGAAAATCATTCACTTTCTACTAGAGTTCATGTCTAGTGCAAGAGGTCAGAACTTTGTCTATAAGCCAGGAGAAATTATTTTGACTTTCTTTGTATGTAGATCAATTAATTTTGTTAAAATTCATAAAAGAAAAAAATATATACACCTAATTTGTGGCAGAGAGCTTTGGCCTTAGAAACATTCCTAGTACAAGGAGTCTAGATTGGAAATACACAGGATCAGTCTTCAGTTACAGAGCTGTACACACATACGTATACAGTTAAAGATTGATTATCTTAAAATAAGCTGACGTTTTCCAAAATCTAGATAGAACCATAGTGTTTCATTTTTTATTTCCTGTAGATATTTAAAAATACTTCTCCATATAGACTTGGTCAAGATACATCAAAGTGTTTAAAGTGATGACCTTGGATATTTGTCTGTATATGGTGAGGCTGACAAAGTACAGAGAGCCTTGTACAAAAATATGAATTTTAAATAGCAAGTCTTAAGAATAGTTCTTCCTTTTGGGATAAGCTAAATTTCTGTTGCTGGAAACTGACTTTTGAAAATGATCTGTATATTAAACAGAATTAAATGGATTCAAAAAAGAAAAATCTCCATTTGTAAACATAAAGGGGCTATGTGTATGTGTGTGTTCTTGTTTATTGATAGTATCATCACCCTTTTAATTAATCATCATCCTTTTAACTGATTAGTGAGGTTTAACATTTTAACCTTTAGGTCTTCAATGTATGATCTATTTTGGAGCAGAAACATCTCAACTTCAAATTATAATCCTGTTTGCATTTCTTTTCTCAGATGATGAAACATGCTTGGAATAATTATAAACGTTACGCTTGGGGCTTAAATGAACTGAAACCTATATCAAAAGAAGGCCATTCGAGCAGTTTGTTTGGTGAGTAGAATGTGCTTTGGTTCTCTAGTGACAGTAACTTCTTTCCAATTGACTGAACGTGTGGGTGGTGAAGTTTGTGTGACTCTCCAGACCATGTTCCTAGGAAACTTGCATACTTAATAGAGTGTCTGCAAGGACTGTGCAAAGTGTGTCCTTCGGATGGAGCAGTGGCTGCATATTAGAATCACTTGCATGCCTTGAAAAATACTGACACCTGGGGCACACTTGCAAAGATTCTCATTTAATAGATGTGGGTGCAGCATCATGATGTTTAGCTCCTGGGGTGATACCCAGCAGAGGAGCATTTGATTGGCTGCATTTAACTGCTTCCTGTCAGGTAAAAGCTGTGTCTCTATCAATAAGCTGGCCAAGGGAGCCAGCCATGGTGATCTTCGCTGTGTCTCAGTGACTCTTGACTTTGACTCTAGGTTTCTGTTGTGTTGCCCTGTAAGAGAAGGTAAGGGTGGATTAGGTCAGTTATGTGAACTTTCATTTACCCACTTTGGCAGCTTTATTGCATGATCCTGACAGCATCCCTCTGTGGTCAGTATTGTGCATATTAATAACATTCCCATTGTGGAGGTGAGGAAGCTAAGTAACAGCAGTGTTAGATGGATTCCATGAGTCACAGAGCTGCCCAGTGCCCTTCCCACACTGCACTCAATTCCTTTTTAACCCCCACAATCTTGTCTATAAGTAACAGGATGAAGGGGACGGAGTCTTATTCTGACACTTCTGAATTCACCATAGAAAACATGACTTTCTGTATCTTAACTGAAGGTGTTAGCATCAAATCATATAACAAGCAACAGTATCAGCAACACTTCCTGTGTGTTAAGTGCCATTCAGGCATCATCTCATTTAATCACATTGTTATAGGCATTTTATAGATGAGAAAAATGAAGCTCAGAGAATAGTTTGCCCAGTGTTAGCCACTTACTGACAGGCGGAGCTGGGGCTTGAACCCAGGTGTGGCTAAGGTCAGAGTCCTGTTCCTAATCACCACACTATGCTTTTCCTTTTAGTTAGGACCTTCCATGTGTTTGGCTCTCCTTTCAGCACTGGTGTTAATAAACACAATACGAGTCTTTGCAGAGTTGATGGCCTAGTGCAGAAGACATCTGTGTGAATAGGGAATTATCAAAGCATTAGGTGCTTCAGTAGATGTTCATATGAAGTTCTGAGGAACCTGTGGGATCTCAGGTAGGGAGGACATTGCAAGAACAATGGAGAGAGAGCTGGAAGGGTGGGAGAGAAGAGAGGCTGGTTGGTCCATCACAGGGACACAGTTTGGAGATGAAGAGAGCCTGAACCTGAGGTAATGGAATAGAAGTGAGTTCAGATGTTTTTATAAAGTAGTGTTTTCAGACACAGTGACCAGTTAATATGGGCGATGAGAGATAGGAATTGAAGAGAGCAACTCAGAAACTTTATGCAGACTTGGAAAGCTTTAATTTTTTATTGTTTATTATAACTCTTTTAAATCCAATTCCATTTTTGCTTTTATCTCTATGAAAGTTGCTTGTAGCATTAAGAAATTAGTTATGTGTAACTTTGCCATAATCAAAGAGATTATTTTATTCTCTGTTAATACATTGATGGTTTTTAAATTTATCATTGAGCATTCAAACCATACTCAGTCTCTTACTGTGGAATGTGGAGATGAACAAGACATGATTTGTCTGTTCTAAGGAAGTTTACAGACTAAAGAGATGCATGCAAATAATTATAACGGAAGATAGGAAGTGGTGGGTGCAGGAGCAACAGGAAGTCTTCATGTCAAGGGAGTTCTGAGGAAATAAATCACAGAATCAGGACTGGCTGGGTGGGAGGGGAGTTGGGAACAGTCAGTGCTTCAAAGAGGGGGTGGAATTGCATTTTAGAGTAATGGTTTCTTAGAGCTATCACTAAGCAATTTTAGATCTAATTATTTGCACAGGTGCACTTTGATGGAATTACATTAAAATTAATAATGTGTGTTGCTCCTCTGTTTCAGATCTAATTTTTCTAGAGAATGCATTCTAGAGAATGCAATCACGAACGAAATTTCTGAGAGATTTATTCTCTACATCTCAGAAGAAACTTTAAAGATTAGAGTATCAATCTATAGCAGGTGATAATTATTAGTTTGGTTTTGGTGCAACTTTTATATTTTCTTTCACTGGAAGAATTTTACACTGTGTTCAATATCGTTTATTAGTAAGTTCGGTATCACCCTCTCCCTCCTTTTCCAAGGTGTGATCAATTTGCATGTATGTAGCTGTCAAAATTATTTTATTGAATAAATATTTTTCTGATATTTGCAGGTAGTATCAAAGGAGCAACAATAGTAGATGCCCTGGATACGCTTTTTATTATGCAAATGAAAGATGAATTTGAAGAGGCAAAAGAATGGGTTAAACAAAATCTGGATTTTAATGTGGTAAGTTAAACAAAAGTTGCCAATGCAGTTCTTAAATCTCGGTTAACATGATAAATTTTTTTGTGGGGCAGATAATTGCACTGTACCCTTGCAGAAACAATTAATGCAATTTTAAATAGTATCATACCATGTTCTTCACTTGCCTTCCCTTACTACGCAAATACATGTCTTTGTTTTTTGGCAAATTAAGAGTAAGAAAAAAGAAATTAATATTTATCAAGACCTGCGTGTGCCAAGTATTCTTGTTCAAGTCCCACAATAACTCTATGAGACAGATACTATTTTCACAGCTTTACAGATTAGAAATCGGAGCCTCAGAGGCTTATCCAGACCACACAGCTAGTTGTGTGTCAGAGCCGTGAGTCTAACACAGGTCTGTGTGCCTCCAGTGTTCATGCTTTTGCACTGTGCCACGGTGCCTTGTTATGACTTTGTCAAATTAACATTTGTTACGTGGAGCACAGGGTGCCAGATGGTGAGCTGCAGTTCCACAGAAGACCATAGAGAAATTGAAATGGAGAAGTTTATTATTCACAGGTCCTGAAGAAGTACACAGCATACCTCCAGGAGCTACACAGGGTGGTCGAGGCAGAGTGCAGACAGACAGAGAGGCGGGACCTGGGGCTCATGCCTTTATTAGGGTAGGTTGGGTGCTTTGGGGTTCCTAAGTTCAGGCCACATGGATCAAACCAAAAAGAGCTCCAAAGGATCTTTTCTAACACAAGGGGAAGGCCCTGGGGGGCAGGGGAGACTGCTGATAACAAGGGCTGTTGGTAGAGTCACATCGGGAACTTAGATTTGCCGTGTCTCTGCGGGCTGTTGTCAAGGGCACACGCTCATGTGAGGGGGCCAGTGTCAGTTTAAGACCCCTGCAGGCCACTTGGCCAAACAAAATGGATGCTGAGGCAGTAATACTGTGGAGTAGCTTAGCTAAATTCTGGACATGTATCCAGCAGCAGCTGCATCCACTTTCCCATAAACAAGGTTTCAGACTTTGTTGATTGTATACCCTTAGCAGTATAAAGTTTTGTCAATATATATTTGAAATATTTTTTAAAATTCTGTATATGTACTACCATTCTTAAATACTTCAAAACCCATTGTGCACCAAGGAAAAGGTTCAGAATTAAAGGTAGTGGCCATTTCTAATACTTGTTGATAATTTTGATTTGCGAGACTACCTCTGGTCAGAGCTAATCGAATTCCATAGTCATTGTTTTACCTCAGAATGAGGTTGACAAAGAACTTGTTTTAAGAAGAGGAAGAGTGTTGGCCCTGTGTTTTTTAGTCGTTCACTTATCTTTGCATTACTGGTATTATTTTTAATCTGAGATTACTTTGCAGAAATCCTTGGAAGCCTCTGGTTAGCGTTCGATAATATCTGTAAATCCCCATAACTGGGCACGAGTAACATGCTGTATGGTGAGAACAGACAAAGGAAGAATATTTCCCTGCTGACTTCTCTGCTTTGAGGAGCTCTTGTTCTCACACAGACTGAGCGAGGACACCAGTGTCATTCATATTAAATATTAAAGATCAGTAAAACTGAGTCTTTTTCCCATCTCTTTGTATTAAAAACATGTATAAATTAAAAGTTTTAATATTTTGTGCCTACCCCTCTAATTAATTGCCATATATCCCACATTTTGGAGATCACTGCCTTAAAGGACAGGCAGATGAGTCTGTGTTTAATCTGTCTTATAATTGAATTCAGAATATAAAAGAGACAGTATTTCAATATAAAGAGACCTGGGAGATCAATGCGTTCAACTCTTTCATTTTAAAGATGAGAAAACAGGCCCAAGGAGCTGGTGATTTGCTCAAGGTTCCACAGCTATTTGACTGCAATGACCTGTAGGAGCTCTGATTTTACCAGTAGAACTGAGTATGAAAGACAAAGGCAGTGGGAGAAAAAGTTCTGTTCCTTTCTAAGGGTTTGTTCTCTCTTAATAATACTTTAGTAGTGCCTTGTTACTTACAATTACGGGCTTGTCTTTGCTCTGTATGGGAGAGAGAATGGATAGTATGTTCCCTCTCCCCACACCCCTCTTTTAGAAAGGGTGAGGGAATGAGAGCTGGATTCCTCCAAGATCTAATGATGGAGGCCGGGAAAGTAGACTTTAGTGATACTAGACCTGAATAGTGTTCGTGTCCCTCATCGATTCTTGCGTTGGTCTGTGATAATTACAGCCTTGCCGCCCCAATCCTCCCCAGATGCTGCCACAATTCTTTGCTTTCGTGACCAGTGATAGTCTGAGAAATTCTAGAATCATTTACTTAAAAGGACTAAGCATAAAGGCCTCTCAAGGTAACAGACAAGGTAACAGAAGGCAGTTGGCTGGCCTCAGACCATGACCAGGTGACATGCATGTGTTCCATGGACCGTGGGGACCTGTGAGGAAGCAGAGGGAATATCAGACTATGTAGAAGAGAAGAGGACATCCTTGGTTTCCTTTCTTATAAGATAAAGGGATTGAGCTATCACTCAGTGATTGCTGAGATACTGAACTTTAAAGTGTTTTTGTTCATTTAAAATTATATTTTTGTTTTCTATAGTATTTTATCCAATTAGTTGACAGACTTTTGTGTAAAATATCATTTTAGAGCCTTTATTGATAATCTTGGGCTATACCTTTAAAAATAATACTTGTAAAAATCATAGCCACAGGTCTCAAATATCTGTTTATTATACTATTCCTAATGTAAGAAGTCTTGAAACATATTGTTGCATTTCTCTTTTTGGGTATTGCCATATTTTCCTTTTTAAAAAATAGAAGCTTATCAATAACCTCCAAAGGATAGTGCTTCCCGTGTTAGAATTAGAAGCAAATATAAAATCAGGAAAGGCATAATAGTTTACTCTCCTAATCATTGCATTAGAAAGTTCTTCAGGGGCCTGCCCTGTGGCCAGGTGGTTAGGTTCATGTGCTCCGCCTCTGCAGCCCATGGTTTCACTAGTTCGGATCCTGAGCACGGATATGGTACTGCTCATCAGGCCATGCTGAGGCAGCATCCTACATGCCACAACTGGAACGACCCACAACTAAAAACACACAACTGCGTACTAGGGGGCTTTGGGGAGAAAAAGGAAAAATTAAAAAAATCTTAAGTTTTTCAGCTTACAGTTTTCTAGTTGGGTTTAATATGTCACGTATGAGACTTTGTCTTTTATTCATTCATTCTACCCAGAGATTCAAGTGATGTGTCAACAGTTACACAGTTTTCTTTCTGAAAACACTGAGAAAATTTTTTCCATTTATCTGAAAGAAGGATAAATTGGAAAAGCTTAAGCAAAGGCAGAGAAAACTTAATTTTATTTTTATAGGTAACATGCAGTATCATTCCAGCTTGGATAAATTATTGCTTGTTTTTAAATTAACACTTTTTCCTGATGAATATTTTAATTGATCTTGTGAGGGTATTGCAAAAAAAGCTAATGCATCCAAATTTATTACAAGGGAAAAATAAGAATGAAACAGAAATAAACACTATTGTTGAGAGTTGGTTTATCCTGTGGAGCTCCTGAGTATAAACAGATCTTACAGTCAAGAATAAATTTGTTTATATGTTTAATATTCACTTTGCATCACTTAAAGGTGTAAAGTAAATGTTTTTTATTGGTTTATACTGTCATTAACTAAAACTCATTTTCTTTTAATTAAGGCATAGCAGGTTGATTCAATTTGCATACTTGGTAGCACAAAGTTCAAATGGCTTTAATAACTGGCTTAAAATAAATCACTGGGATAATATGTAGGAATAAGGGCTTCCCAGGTGGAGCCTCATATTCAGATCAAGTATCTGTAGAGGCGCATAGAAGTGGGTGAAAACGCTAAGGGTAGACTCCAGTTGGTGAGTTCTCTGGATTTAATTCAAAGTAATCCTAGGACAAAGAATCTAAGACAGATCCTTGGTTATTCGTTATTCATTTATTAATCCATTCTTCTATTAATAATTTAATAAGTACCTTTTAAGGTACTTACCTTCGTGGAGCTTATAGCCTACCAGGAAAAGTAGTTAGAGTGCCTAGCTAGAGCTGAGTTTTCTGGGGAGGAAAGAAAGGAAAGAGGAAACTACTATTTAGAGTAATAAGACATACCAAGTATTATACTAGTGATTTTTTTCATAGATTATCTCGTTTAGTCTTTGTGAAAGGCATACAGGGTAAATGATATTTTCCCTATTTTCATAGACGACAAGGTGCTTAATTAATCTGCCCCAAAGCACGCAGCAAGTAAGAGCTTTGGTTTGAACCAGGTCTGCGTTAACTCAATGGCCCTGTTTTTATTGGAGAAGAAATGGGAAGAGTTGAGAAATATCTAGGCAGCCATGGAATTTGAGTCCTCCAAGGTCAGGCATGAAATCTTATTATCACAGTACTCATTAGACTGGATTGTTCCGTAGGTATTCAATAAATATTAATTAAATGAATAAGAAGTTAAGCTATCTTGTCCTCCTTCCCGACAGACTGTGCCAGAAGACAAGCTGACAGGGTACACGGGTAGCTGTATTGTGTCCTATTTTTATATAGTTAGAATGATCTGGAGTTCAAGTGCAACTGATCTACTTGTTTTTACCTAACCTATGTCCAGAATGGAGCTATGGTGGCTCCTGATATAGGAAGATCATTAACATAAGGAAGAATGATTAAGAGTTTCATATTTGGGCATTTCTAAATTCATTCTGAGCGTCCTCTTCCTTACTGTCACTTTAAAGAAGTCTTGATTACCTAGATCTTTACATGAGAAATATTGAAGACAATCTTCGGTAATGAACTTTATAGAATATGTGGAAATTTTCTCCAGATAACAATTTCTTATATAAAACTCCAGTAAAGCCCAAAGCTCTATTAAAATTGTCCTTAAAAAGCATTTTTCTTCATTGAGGTAAAGTAATATCTCCGTATGAGAGGCCACACTTTGAGAATGACAAATGGTAAATGATTAGCTTGCTCCAGACACTAACTAGCAACACACTGAGACCGTGGTCTTTGGCAGCAC